AAAAAAAAAAAAAGGGAGCCCTCAAAACTGCCTGACGATGGGAGAACCCTTCCTCAAGCCATAAACCAACAAATAAACTCAAATAAAAGTTGCCGTCCAGTTCCTGCCAACTCATGATGACTCCATGTGTTTCAGAGAACTGCACTCCCGCGGGCTTTCAACGGCTGTGATCTTTCAGCAGACTGTCAGGTCTTTTTTCCGAGGTGACTTTGTGGATTCAAACCACCAGCCCTTTGGTTAGTCGCCAAGCAATTCGCCATTTGCACCACCCAGGGACTCCCAAAACCAGCTGCTCTTAAGTCAGTTCCAACTCATGGCAACCCCATGTGTTTCTAACAACAATTGTCCTCAACAGGGTTTTCAAGGATGTGACCTTTCAGAAGCAGATTGTAAGACCTGTCTTCTGCGGCACCTCTGGTTGGGTTCAAACTGCCAATGTTTCAATTAGTCCAGTGCTTAACCGTCTGCATCACCCAGGACTACTTCCTCACACCATACACGAAAATTATTTCAGATAAATTAAGTATTTAGATTTTAAAAAAAAAAAAAAGCACACTGACTACATATCCTAGCATAACTGTACTCTCGTGTTGCTTGGTGTTTTCATATGAGTTTCTCCAAGTACATTATAGCCCTTCGTGACTATCTTGGAATTAAGAATGCTTTTCTAAATGCTGTGAGAGCCGGAAGCTAAGACAAGTTCACTCTAACCAGGCTAGACTTGGTTCAGCACGGAGAGTCTTCACGTCAAGGGTGAGCTGAATTCCTGCTTTGGTGGCTTCAAGCAATGAACTTCTATCTTTTTTGGGGGGAGGGGGGTTGGATAGAGACCTGGAGCAAGTCATGTTTCTCTACATTCTTTTCCCTACTGAAGGGTTTTAATTCAATACCAGCTAAGTTTGGATCATCAACAAAATATGGGTAGCCACTCTCTGTGAAGATTCCTCTCATACCTTTTCCTTACCCCCCACCCCAACCCACCCCAAACCTGTCTTGGAAGAACTACAACCAGAATGCTCCTCAGAAGCAAGGATGGTGAAACTACGTCTCACATACTTTGGACATGTTATCAGGAGGGACCAGTCCCTGAAGAAGGACATCATGCTTGGTTAAAGCAGAAGCTCAGGAAAAAACAAGAAGAACTTTTCCGAGACGGACTGACACAGTGGCTGCAACAATGGGCTCAAGCAAAACAAAGACTGTGAGGATGGCGCAGGACCGGGCAGTGTTTCGTTCTGTTGTATGCAGGGTCGTTTTGAGTCGGAACCGGCTCAACGGCACCTAACAACAACAACAACAAATCTTCAGGATTTTCAATGACACAAAAACACTGTTTGGAAAGTCTCAGTCTACTTCTATCTTACCAAAACTTTAGGATACAAGCTCAGACTTCCAAATTTGCACAAAGTTTATTCACCCTGATTTGAAAAAATGTTAAGATGCCTACAACAACATTTTGATGGGAAAAAAACATATGCAAGTTGGAAATTTTTAATTTACTTTATTCAAAGGAGAGCCACACCACTGAGCCTCAGTACTACCATGTGTTAAGATAAAGCCAATTTGTTCCAGCTAATTAAAGAAATAACATATATATATATATATATATACCATGTATAAAAACAAAAATAAATCACAGCCAAAAAAAAGCAACAAACAAATACATGTTTTGAAAGAAAGTAAAAGTTACTTGTGCCTCCACTAAAAATGGCTCAGTCTTAGCTGAAGTGCCTGGAGTAGGAATCTCAGACTGCCAGATGCTTTGAATGTCCAAAATGCCAAGCAGAAGCATTAACCATCATTGTACTTTAAAACAGAAGTAGGTTTTCCATTTAATTTTGATAGCAGACATTTAAGGACTCTTCTGTTGTCATTCTAACAAAACAAAAATAAGCACTCCAACACGGGGAAATTTGGAACATAAACCTCAGAAGAGCAAGGATAATGGATTTTAACTTACATACACATGGACACGCTTCTCTCCTGGAACCTTACACCAGACAGCTATCAGTCCCAAGAATGCAAAGCTCTTCCTCCCATCTTCCACATTAGACAACTGCCCATGTCTATTACTATCTAGAAACATTTTCACCAAAATTTAATATTTTCTTCAGGCATTATTTTACTTTAAAATTAAACTCCTACAATTACATGAACCAACGGGGGGGGGGGTGTCAAACTAGACACAAGATACATGATTCATTAAAATTCTTCTGGTTTTCCATATCAGAATGGTTGTGCTTCTTCTGAACAGTTGGTTTGTTTTCATCTCACGAGCATGATTTGTGTTTACTGTTAGTACACTGACTGAATTCTTAGCCAAACTGCTGGCCATCTAGCAGGTACAGAATCTCACTGTATTTCTGGAAGAACTATG